ATTTAAGAAAGTGTTAGAGGGTATCCAGCCTTAGGAGACAAGAATGGAAGATTCCTTTTTTTGCTATAGATTTTTATAGTACCTTTGTGAATTAATGAGAGACACAATTGAGATGTTCAATATCTCATTGAAAGTATTGTATATTAGGGATAGACTTAAAGATATGAAGACAGAAATGGATTTAGGGGAAACTTTATTCAATTTTTTTTCTCCAATAAAAGAGAAGGCCAAAATGAAAACAATCTTCCCAAGGGGAAGAAATAAATCATTCTCATTTTTTTTCTTTGTTTGTTTCCTGGGTCTTTAAATATGTTGATAGAGACTCAGGAGTCACCCAACCTATAATATATATAGCTGGGTCTCCCTGATAATTATTGATTTATTAAATTTATATCCTACCTTCTGTCCAGGAGCTGAAACTTGTTTATAGTGTGTTTTCTTCTCCAGTGCTTTGCCAATAGTTCTTGTGAAGTAGAAAGTAGTAGAAAATAGTTGTGAAGTGAGAGAAAACAGCTGACTCATCACTTAATGATTTTCTGTCATTGAGCGAGGACTTGAACCCAGGTGTCCCAAGTGACAAGCTAGTACTTTAACTACCACAACATCTAGCTACCAGAATTACAACTTGGAATATCTTACTGATTGAAACATTTTTAAATTAATGACTGACTGGGTCCACCTATACTGGTGAGTGGACTTTTGTACTATTTGGAAAGACAATTTGGCCTGGAAAATGATCTGAACAATAAAGTCTTCCTGTTGCTGATATATTTTTATGTAGTCCCCTATTTGCACTCTTAGCTCACCATAGCCCAGCTTCTTACAGCATAGCCTTGACAAAGCTAAAAGCAATGACAAGGCCACAGTAGTATTTTCAACAGGATCTTTCATTGTCAAGATAAATAAGCCAACTATCATAGACAGGTTGTAAATTTACATCATTTTTGGCTGCAAAAGGGGCTATAGTAGAAGGTAAACATTCTTGTTGAGCAGGAGCTACATTAAACCTTGGCTATGAAGTTCAATGTGGGGGAATTATCATTTAAAAAAAAAATTAACAGCTATGAATTATTTACAGTAGGATTATCATTGCAGTTTTATTTGTTTCCTACTTTAAAATAGTGGGAAATTGGTCTTTCAGTTTTCAGCAGACATCCTGAAAGGGATCTAAGGTTCAGAGGCTTTTGAATTTCAGTTGCTAGATGCCTAGATAAGAAGCCTTCTCTTATAGATAATGCACATTTTTGTCATTCTGAAGTTTTCTTTCTTCAAAGACAGTAATGGGAGACAAAGCCCTTGACCTCTCACTGGTAAAACAAAATAAAAGTACCGGTAAGTAAGAACTGAAGATCAATCTGATTACTAAGAGTCAACTTCTATTTTAAAGCTCTGATTGGAACCTTTGGCAAATTTTTATATTTCTGGACCTTGCCTTTAAACTGCACATAGTTACCCCTTTTTTTTTTGTTATTTACAGCATATGAACTACTTCGGTAACTACTATAACGGGACTCTGAATTAGCTGTGGGACCTCTAACTGCAACCCTTAAACCATTTGCATTAAATAAAATGCAGAAAATGAAGGCAACCAGATTCCAATATGAAAGAAAAAAAGCACAAATAGCTGTTGTGTATAAAATACTCATATGGATTTGTAAAGCATAATGCTATATAGAACAAATGGCTTTAACTGGATGTAACACAGGCAGCATAGTAGCCCCCAGAGTGAATGTTCAATGCAGTTTGTGCAGAAGACATGCCAGTACAAAGATGCCTACTAATATATTATGCATTTCACCCCCTTTTCTGAATTTTTTCAGGATAGCAACTTTCTCTTGGGGCTTTGAAACTAATATTGGCTAAGAAACACAAACAATTTACAAGTATTCAAGAATAACTGCAGGGATAACTCACAAGTTCATTGAAGCAGAGAATACATATAAGGCAAACAGGTCTTTAACAAAAAGATAGGCTAAATGTTTAAATGTATGCTAAAGAGAGCATCAAGTAATAGTAATCTGTAGCAGATATAAGCAGCTTATAGCATAACAGATGTGAACTGAACTATCATTCCCAGCAGCCCAACAGTCAGTATGGTTGATGATATAAGATCATATTTGTAGTTCAGCAACATTTCAAGCATCAAAAGTTGCCTTGACAGTGGAATTAATTATCCTAGGCCTAGAATAACAAACCTCTAACTTATTTATTTTCACTTCTGTAAATAAGCTTAGGAAATGAATGAAAGATTAAAATGAGTTGGAAAATAATCCATATTCCCTGGCAAAATCTTTTCTTTCACCCAATGATTATGTAAGCAAGACTATGATTGCATGTAGAATACAAAGTCCCAAACAGAAACACAATAGCCTAAGAATTAGTCAAGAAAGCCAGAAGGATGATATACCCAAACAACTGCAATTCTCCTTTGATGCAGAGAGGGGCTATTATGTCAGAATATCAACCCCAAATAACAATTCTACAGTAACAATCTTTCATATTAAAATACATGAATAAGCCTTTATTTATCAGCATATGTCCAAGGTCTAATGCTAATAATTCTGCTTTTCGCTTTAGGTTGGACAGACTCAGGATCTTTCAAGTATCCTGCTCACAGATACAAAGTACAACTGTTGCTGGTGCTACTTATCAATACATTATACAATTATGTAAAATGTTAAGTAATTTTCCATTAATTGGTCTCAAAGAGAGATGAAACGCATTCAGAACATCGGACCCAATACACTCTAGCCTAGAGTGAAAAGTGAGACAGTAGAAGAGTAAAACCATCATGAAATACTTGAGCAAATGGAACAAGCTTCTTTTCATTCACTGAACACTTCCTGCTCAGCATTTGCTACCATGTGTAAGAGGGCTTCAACAAAAGAAGGGAGGGGTTTCTTTTTTGAAGTACAATTCTATACATGTCTAGATTTCAGCAATCACTACTTGTTTCAAAGAACTCACTTTCAAAAGATATACACAAAGTTGCAGCCTATGGTAATATCTGCACAGCAAAACACAGGGATAGCAGGAACATTATGATCTAGTTATGCTAACTAGATTATACTAACATTATACTAATTCATGCTTTGTTTACAAAGTCCAATTAATTGGATTCTTAAATAAGCTCATTGTGGCTTATAAACCATAAACCACTGGACTTAGTGAATACATACTAAAACAGAACCAAACGAATACATGACTTAGCAAGCACATCTTTATTTGGATTTGATTTTTTGTTGAAATAAAGGCAAAGTTTCAAACTAAATTATATCAGATTCTCATCTCTGAATACTAGAATTGCTTCTTTAATCCCCAAAGAAGGCAAAGCACTATATAACATCTTGGTTTTTGAAAGACCATCAAGTAAGATGTTTAGGAAAAAAATGTTTGCTGTCTAATAAACAATAAGAAAGCATTAATATTCAGGACAAAATCTGTTGCTATCATGTCTGATCTGCAGAGGATACAATGAATGTTTAACTCTTTGCTGCCATCTAGTTGTTGTTCTGATTTTTGTGCCCAAAATGTATAGCAGTCCTATATACCTTCTGAATTAATTGCCTATTTGACAGCATGTAACTGCATGTTTTAGTATCTTACAGGGCCCCTAAAATTGCCTTCTAAGCTTCACACCAAATATGGTTGTTGATATATTTTTCTGCTCCACTGTCTTCTTTATACCAAATATGGTTCCTGATATATTTCCCTTCAACTTTATTAGAGCCAAACATCCTCGTAGTAGCTACTTCATCACCCTCAGAGCCACATGCCAGTTGTTCCAATTCACTTGACTGGTAAAAACCACAAATAAAAATCCATGCCCACAGTTTGGAGGATACTCTGTATTGCCTTTCACAATTAATGCCACCACTGTCCTCTTGTATGTGCAACAATCACTCTCTCTTTTGTTTGTGGGAGTAAGGAGCTGCTTCAAATATCCTTGGCTGGCTTCAGCTTTAGTCTGGCAGCTCAGGACTTTATAATATGCTCGTCCAGTTTGGGGAGCCCATCAAATCAGATGAAGACAACTATGTCAAATAAACATTTTAAACACAGATTTTCCATTTACTCAGGAAAAATGATAATAATTCCAGCTCCGTTGATGCTAGAACCATGTGAATTGTTTACATGATCAAAACCTTATACTGAAATCTGGCAGATTATCCCCTGCTAGAATACGACAGGTAAAAAAGGGAAATAACCTCTGCATTAATCACATTCCCAAAGATTTTCTCCTTTCCCCTTCCTTGCTAGCTTCCTCTATAGAAGGTCAAAGTACGGATCTGATAAAAGTCCAGGGGGTTAAAGGAATCAGAGGCCAGGTAATATATCAGAGAGAGAGAAAAAGAGGGATGGTGTCAAAGTGAAAATGAGAGCTACGCAAAGTTCATCTTCATAGTCTGAAGGCCCAAGGCTTCTATGGCCGAAATGATTTGAATAAACCAGAACATCTAAGGATAAATCCAGCGGCGCTGTCTTGTTCTCACAAAGGATGCAGTGATTAAACTTTGACGTTTTTAATAAGTGGATTTCTTGCAGGATTCTGATGCATACAGAAAACAAGCTGCCGGGGTGAAGTTCCTAGCGTAATCTCCCTGGCGCACTAGCTTTCCGCCCGCAGGGATCGTTACCTCTCTTTCACAGAAAATCCCGCCCAGGTCCTCTTACCTAGGTTTGGGGCGCAACAAGAGAGGCGCGGAATTACCATTCGTCAGAACGAGAAGGGGGTCCTAGCCTACGCGCACAGGTCGTCGAGCCGCGAGAGTTGTTTCTTGTCGCCGCGCTCTTTCGAAAGCCGTCCGACTGACCGAACTTTCCTCGCAAGAAGCTCGCGAACCCCACCCTCACGCGTGGCACAAAAGCGCCCTCCAATCCGGCTGAGAAAGCAAAGGAGAAGCCGGAGGGACGACGAGGCCCCTGGAAGAGACGGACTCCGTTCCCTTCTTCCTCTTCTCCCTCCCTCCCCCCGCCATTCACGCTGCGTTTCGCCTTACCTTTGCTCGGTTTACACCGAAACCCCGTGGAAACGAAAGCAAACAGCCCCACGGAAGGAGCCGCGGCGGTGCTCGCTTAGGCGCTGCTTTGGAGAGAGGGGTTCGCTCCCGCCTCGCCGGCTTTTGGCGTCGCGCCCCCCCACCTCTCTGGCGTTAAAAAGAAGCAGCGAAGTCCCACGTCCACGCCTCCCGGCAGAAATTCATGACGCTCCCTGGCCAGGTCCCATCCGGGCAGAAAGAAGAACTAGAGGCTTCTGGTTTCCAAGAACAACCTGAGCCCGGCGCTTCGGAAGGGAGGGGCGACCCTGCCGCCACCTCCCGCAGAGGGCCAGAGGGCTTCACGCGGCGCTGGTTCCTCCTCTCCGTCTTGGCCTGAGGTGGGAGGGCGAAAGGGAGGGAGGGCCTGAGGGGCGTGAATGGCGCGGGATTTGTCCTCCCGATGTCAACGATGCCGTATTTTGCGGTGGGAAGAAAAGTCAGGAATTCAACAGATGCAGCCTTTCCAAGGCTGTAGCGCCCATGCCGCGGAAAGCAAAGCGATGGTGGTAAAAACGAAGTAGAGAAAGGGGGGGCGGAAGGAGAGGGATAATCAAATTACCGATCAGGATGGAAAGCAATTAAAAAAAATACCCAAATTCAACTAGGCAACTCGTTCTTGAGCTTCATTATACAGACTCTGATTTAGATCAGAGGCAAGGATCTTTTGTGTTCACTTTTATCGAAGTATACAATATCAAGGAAGCTTCCCTGTTCTCCTGCCCTCTCCACCTGACAGGTAATCTGAGAACCCAGTTTAACAACTCCCCCCCACCCCCAAGTGGTTTCCACGACCATGAGAGTGTTAATGACTGTCCGGCTGCAAAGATTATAAATCCTTTCCATTCCCCACCAGTTAATTGGAACTGAAGAAGCTTCTTGGTTGACAATTGAGATGTCTTCAAGGATAAGAAAAACGAAGAAAGCCCAGCTGCCTTTATTAAATGCACCTTTGGGACCATCGTGATCGGGATGACTGAGAACCTCCATAGGCATTTACCTGTCCACACCTTATAGCAGAAAAAGATCTGAATCCTCTGCTATCAATCTATGTCTACCTTGCCTAATTTGGATGCAGGATCTTTGCATACTAATTACTGTCCTCTACCTCAGGGGTCTCCAGCTTTGGCAACTTTAAGACTTGTGGACTTCAACTCCCAGAATTCCTTTGTTGGCTGAGGAATTCTGGGAGTTGAAGTCCACAGGTCTTAAAGTTGTCAAGGTTGGAGACCCCTGCAATTCTTGCCAGACTTTAATTTCATCCGGATAGAAAGCAAGCTGCCTGGTTTTTGATGTCTTCTCCCTGTTATGCTAGTTTTCTCTGCACAGGGACCTCTTCTTCTCTCATAGAATAACATTCCAGGGTACTCTCTCTCATCTGTCTTTTGTAGTACAACAATAACAGGAATGTGAGTGATCACAGCTCATGTGGATTACTTTGAATCACAAGAACTGTTTTTGTTGCTATTCCCTTTCCAGTTAATTTCTCCAACTTTGCTTGCAAGATGCCTACCTACGTTCACTTGAGGACCTTGTTGACTGTATTTATTTAAAATATTTATATGGCCACCCATCTTAAGCAACTCTGTACAGCTTACCATGTATTTGCATCTATTAGAAAGGGGTATGAAACTCCAAACACCACCAGTGCTACCCGAGGATCAGTTCATTATTCTGAAAGCTGCAACACTGAAGCCTTTTCAGAAATTGATACAAAAAAACATTTCAATGAATCAAAATGAAAAGAATCTCAGGATTCTCATTAATAAAAATGAGAATATTCAGTCTGGTGGGTGAACTCACTTGTGACCAGGTATCGGAGAACGCTGTTTGTTGGCATGGGTACCCTGAGCTCAGAGTATAGAGAAGGATGCTGAAATAGAATTGGTCCAATTGATTTATGTCTGTGGAATTAGTTGGTAGTAATTGGGGCACTTTATCCTTTGCGTCAAATAGCAAGGTATCTAAAACACCAAGGTAGAGTTAAAATCAAAGATGTTTGACTTATGTCTTTCAGCCATTCACTATTCTCAAGGAAGTGGAATATTTTCTTTCTGTACCAGAATAATCTTATTAAATTCATTTTGAACTGGAGGAATAGGGTAACTGTTATTGTAAGATAGAATAACACAGTGGTAGTCAACTGGTCCCTACCGCCCACTAGTGGGTGTTCCAGCTTTCATCGTGGGCAGTAGGGGTTTTGTCCCCTAATTTGTAAATCACCATTACTGTGGAACCGGTGGGCGGTTTAGAGAAAATTTTACTACTAACAGAGATACAAAAGTGGGCGGTAGGTATAAAAAGGTTGACTACCCCTGGAATAACACATGAACAAGAAAGTTTGGTCCTATCTAGTGTTAACTCTTGTTAAGATGAACAAGAACAAGGAAAATGCATTTCTCTTTGTGTTTGTGTGTGTTTGTGGGTGTGCAACAGAGGTGGTATTCAGCAGGTTCTGACCAGTTCTCGAGAACCGGTAGCAGAAATTTTGAGTAGTTCAGAGAACTGGCAAATACTAGCTCTGACTGGAGATTTTACAGTATCTTTCCCCTGCCACGCCCACCAAGCCACGCCCACAGAACCGGTAGTAAAATAATTTGAATCCCACCACTGGTGTGCAAACTCACTATTTCCTGATTTCTAGCCTGGTGCCTTAATCACTTACACCAACCTGAGTCTCATATATAAGTATGTGGTAAGGACTCTTTCAGAAACATCACTTTGAATTACACAGGAAAATTTAACGTTGTTATAAGTGAAAAGTTTCACTTCAAAATAGTCAATTTCCAGAAACCAGACTAAGACAAGTAATTCTGCAAGACATTAACAAGTTTGGGCATACATTTTGTGAGTGTGTCACAGGAAATGATTTTGGCTTGAACTACTAATCAGAAATGAGAAATTATAGCAATCTTCACTCACTGAAATGGTGGTTTAAGACTATAATTTGGAAAGAATGGATGCAAAGGTACGAGAGACAAATTAAAGGAACTTGCGGACTCGCACAAAAAGGACTGTCTGTTCAAAAACATCTTGGAGAGAAGAGCTAAAAATGAAGGCAGCTTTGGATAACAGGATTTAAAGGCACGGTAAGCTACAACTGCTAAATAAATAAAGAGAAATAATTAAGAAATAAAAATAATATCCGACACAGCTGGGAGAGTTTGGATATCAAATTACTCATGTAAAATGTTGGCCCAATCATGCATAGAAATGAATACATATATAAATAAGACCAAACCAAGAAAAGATGTGAATACAAATATCAGTTGTAAATGTTTGAAAAAGCAAACAATATCCAAACAGCAGGCTGCTGGAACAAAGGATTTTAATTCTACAAAAATGACTTTTGAAGTTCAAAAGAAATTTCCCTCCAAATTCAGTAACCAGTGATGGGAGGAGATATTCTGAATGGTAAAGTATATGGATGTATATACCATTAAAACAATCAAAACACAGAAAACTACAGAAAATAGAATACTACAAATAGTCCTTGACTTACCGCAGTTCATTTAGTGACTATTCAAAGTTACTGAAAAAAGTGACTTATGATCATTTTTTACACTTCCAATCATTGTAGCATCCCCATGGTTCCATAATCAAAATTCAGATGCTTGGCCACTGGTTCATATTTATGACTGTATGATCATGTAATCACCTTTTGCGATCTTCTGACAAGCAAGCAACTTAACAGCCATGTTACTAACTTAACAACTGCAGTGATTCACTTAACAACGGTGGCAGAAAAGTCATAAAATGGGACAAAACTCACTTAATACATGTCTTACTTAGCAACATCAATATTGGGCTCAATTGTAGTCATAAGTTGCCGACTACCTCTATTACCCCTATCCATCCCTGGATTTCCTTTTATTGGTTTTTGGTTTGTAAATATATTCTTATTGTGTATTAACACCAATTACTTTCAATCAATTAATGTCATAGCTAAATTTTCCCTAACAAAAGGGTTCTCAATCTGAGCACAGCACACAAGAATATTCTCTGTGTATTGAAAGATAACTTACACAATGGCTACACTCACTGATTATTATAGGTCCTGTGTTCAAAATAAAAGCCTGGAGACCAGTTTATTATGTAAGCCCAAGAATGATGCTAAGAAATACGACACTAATGCACACAAACATACACACTATGTATTGACTTCAAGGCTTCAATAGAAATGGTCATGATTTAAGTATTCCTTGTTACGTATGGTTGCAACTCATCAAAATACTGCATAGAAAATACCTTCAGAATCCATAGATTGCTATGACAGCTATTGAAGGCAGGACTCTTTCTGTGGCTATGTTAATGCTTATTCCTCCAGTTATTGAGTTAGCAGAAAAATATTCTGGCATAAATTGTGCTGGCCTGACAGCTGAGCTCTGTTTGTCTTTAGTGACTGGTAGTATCCTTAGTTTTAAAGTTTAAGAGAAGAGATTGGTGGATTTTCCTGTCTTCATTTCCTCTCCTATCTACTGTCACCTTGTTGACTAGAAAAGCAAAGCCAAAGATCCCCCATGTCCTTAGGAGCTAACCTTAAGATATGCTGGAACAAGCTTGATGACTATAGACTGGTACCTGGAACAGTGCTGAGTCCCAACCAGCTGCATGAGATCAAGGAAGCAAAAAACTGTATTGACATAGCAAGGTATCCTAATGCTAGAACTACAGTAAATACAGAATCTTAGATTCCCATGTTCCTTAGATTCTCATCCGTGACCTATTGGCTGGCTATTTTGGAACATGGATTTAGAGCTCTTGCAGAAGTCAGGTAAATCCATAATTGGAAATAGACCAAATGATGGATCATCAATGTGGCGAAGAAATTTTGTGGACCATCGGACATCTCCTGCTTCACCTTGTGCATCTCTGCATACTTAAAACATATCAAAGGAGAAAGGAGAAACAGGCAGAACTCAGCTTCATCCAAAATGAATATCCCAAATCTATAATAGCAGCAGGGTAGTGCTGATAATGAATGACTGTGACCAAAATGGTACCACTCTCCCCACAAAATAATGAAAAGGTAGAAAGTATGAACACACAGATATCAGAGTGCCTGGATAGCTCAGTTGGTAGAGCATCAGACTTTTAATCTGAGGGTCCAGGGTTCAAGTCCCTGTTCGGGCGAGAACTATTTTTAATAGAAAATCTTGCACGAAGAAACATCCTTTCAAAGGAAAAAATTGAAAAGAATAAATGAAATCCTGTTTGTTTTTTTTCAGCCTAGAACTAAGAAGAAATTTCCTGACAACCGGTGGAATAACTTGCCTCCAGA